TGATAGATTGATCTGCATGACAAAGGAAATGTTGTCATGGAAATATCAAGCATGAATCTAGGGTACATTTCATTAGTTTAGCAGCAATCCTTAGGGGAGAAAAAGTCTCAATTAACAAAATCAGTTTTCTATTTCTAAAATTTAGTTTGACAACGTGAACTTTACCATAACAAAGCAACCAACATATTGATTTAATACCCATACATACATAATTGATATAAGTGGGTATAGTTATTAGGTTTTATTTCCCATGGATACCTGTGATATTTGTTCACACAGTCAATTGTCAGTAAAAACACCTCATAACGGAACAGTCATGATATTGTATGAGGCCAGAACTTAGAAGGCAGAGAGACCAATCAATAAGGAAAGTAGTAGACTCAAAATCCCTAAGTGAAATCTTCACTTACAAGACTGGCTTTGAGATAAAGTAGAATCTCCCTCATCAGAAAGTTTCTTAAAGTACCTTCAACTTGAGATGGTTGATTGAACCTTAGAGGAGAATTCAGCAGAAGATTTCAAATGTCCATATGGCCTCAGTTGGAGGAAAAACTCTCTGGGCCCAAGTATTCAGCTCCTAATGATCTGTCCAGGGTCCTGAAAGCTCATTCTCTCTTAATGCTTTTTCTTAGCTACGTATTTGAATCTTCACAGGAAATATTTTGTGTGACTTCTCTGCTTTGGCATTTGGGAATTTAGGTTGAAAACTGGATACTGTCCACTCTGCATTGCAGATTTCATTCATATCTATATGGCATTCAGCTTTGTTCAGGTATTTTCCCACGTCATTGTAGTTGTGCTTTTAAAGTTGTAGCAACGTTTCCGCAGAATCTCATCTGCCATCATCAGGCTTCTGTATTGTGTTCGTCTGTGAGTCAGACTTTCATAGCCGTTTCAGTTTTAAATTTGGGGCTAGCCTACTGCTGTGCCAGAATGGTTTTTTCTTCATCCTGATTGGTTGGGAGTCTTGGTCTGTGTTTATTGGTCTTGGAGTTTGCTGTGTTCTGCTTGATTGGTGTTTCTAATATCTTCTGTATGTTTTGTGGCTCTTTTTGTATCTTGATTGGCTGGCAACATTGTGTTTCCTGTATTGGAGGCTTTTAGTGCGGCTTGGCTCCGAGTAAATGGACGGCTATCATTTATTAGGAAGTTAGGTTTCATCTGGGTGAACACATGAAAGCCACAGGTCATAGCATCGACTTCAATGGCACCAAAACCCTAGCCGCTATAGAAAACCCCAGCCACAGAATTATCAGAGAAGCCATAGAGATTGAAAAAAGACCTGAAAGCATGACTAGAAGAGATAATTCCACCAGACTGTCAGTCATTTGGAAACCTGCACTCACAAACAAACAAAATCTCCACACCACAAGCCGGGCAAACACCTGGGTACAAACAGACTCCCCCCTGATACCTCCAGCTCAAACACACCCCAACCAGGCACCCAGATGAAACCTAGCTTCCTAATAAATGAAACGTCCAAGAGGAACATTTGAAGTCAGAGATGGGGGCTGACAAATGACCAGCCAGTGTGAGCTTCAGAAATGCTGATAAAGCAGACAGCTCCAGTGCCACCATTTGGACTGCTGCATCAGCCAGAAAAGGAGGCAGGGCAAAAGAGCAGGCACAGCTGCCATCTGAACATGAGGGCATGGAATTACTGCCCCCATCCAATGCAAGTTTGGTGGGCTGTGAAGAGAATAGAGCAAAGAGGCTCTGCAAGATCACTCATACAGAGGGAGTCTCACCTCACTATTATTGTTGTTGTTGCTATTATTATTACAATTTACAGTTTATTACATTACTAGCTCAATACTCGTGCTTCGCTACAAAACTATGTGGTTGGGCTTAGTTTTTGGGGAGGAAAATGAGGGAAAAAATGTTGCCTCTGCCTATCAGCATCCATCTATTTATCTGGCTAGTGTCCTGTCAGTGTGTGAGAGAGTTGAGGGCTGTTTGGAAACTGAAACAGTATTAGCTGTGTGAGCAAGGAGACAGCAAGGAGCCTGGGCATGGCTGAGCTCAACTGTTCTGTACTAAAGCGGTTTGATGCTGTGAAACTAAAACTGAAACTGAAACTCCTCTCCTCTGCTTGTGTTTTACATTTGGAACAGATTTCTTTTCAGGTGGGGAGGGGGAGTAGAATGCCTTAGCATCAGAGCGTGTTAATAATAATATAGGAAATACTAATGCTCTGATGGTTATTTCAAAAAATCCTTTCTTAGTGAGCACCTAGAAGCCAAGAGGAACATACGTGCCAAATTTCAAGTGTGTAGGCTTTATGGTTTTGGAGATTTTGTGATGATGCGTGAGTGGTATTTCACTTTTATATAGAGAGATTACAGTTTATTACAGACCAGACAACAGAACAAATAAAAACACTCAGTAAATATACAGTTAAAAGTTCTATTATAAAATAATAAATAACTAAAATCTATGATAAAACCCAATCTGTCAATTATACATGGTCTAACTATACTAAAATTACAATCCATAAACTGTGTGGTCCATTGTCAATTTAATACTAAAAGGGAAAGGAATAAGCAATGCACAGGGTTTGCCACATTAGATAGATAACATAATTATGGTGGATTAGACACGTGTTTTCAATGAATCCCCAGTGCTCCTGTGCAGAATCTAGCCACCTATGCTATAGTTACGGACTGTTCATCCTTAAGCAGACACTGGAGATAAGCAGTGTCAGAATAGCCAGGATAACTAGCAATTATTGGCAGAATATATATTTTTCCCGAATCTCTGAGTAAAAGTAACATTGAAGGAGTATGTGGCCTACCGTCTCCATCATCTCACCCTACTAAACATCTCCCTCTATTAAAATGGAACAGCAAGTACAAGCTTTCGAGTGACAACAACTTCCAATTAATTCCCACTCTGTCTGCCTTGACTTGTGATCACACAAATACACTCTGACTTTGAGCCTGAAATGGCTGACAAATTTGCTACAAGATTCTACCAGACTCTACCTGACTACTCTCCCGCTTTGCCTCTTTGATTTGGAATCCTTAAGTTAAACTTGTTGAACTTTGGGAAGGAACTTGTCTCTATATTGCAAGTGATGTCTTGGCAAGCTTCATTTAGTAAAGAGAACAAAGCCACCCCTTTGTGTATTGTGTGTGGTTGTCCAGGGACAGAACAGATACAACAGGAACTCTGCCTTTATAGTAGCAGGCAAAATTATTCTATGTTAGTCACTAGGGAGGAAATGGATGTTTCTGCCTTCTGAAGCATCTGTGTTTGTTTGTTTGTACTTCTGCCAAACATGGAGTTGGATAGTTCCTATCCATACAGCTGATGTGCCTTGATGGTTTTATTTTATCTTGCTTTATTATTTTACTTTATTTTCTGCTATGTAACCTCTGAGACTTTTATATTCAAATGATGAAATGACAACATCGCCCTTAATACGGCAACCTGGGAAAAACCTCGGACTGATAATTGAAAAACAAATGTGTATCTTAGGGAGGAAAGGAAGAGACAAGGGTAATTATAAGGTTTGATGTGTTTTTTAATTCTCCCACCAGATGACAGTGAGTAGGCTTGATGAATGAGCTAACTCTAGTTTTGAACAGACTGTATTTGTGTACTTCTCAACGCTAATGTCAGAGTGATAGGAGAGACAGCTGCCAAATGGTATGAAGTGTTTCCAAACAAATGGAAGAACGTTGCTTTATAAAATAACATGACACCATTTACAATATAAGTGTAAGAATATATACGGTTCTTTAGGTTTCACTCTGTTTCCCATTTCTCAACTTCCTTTTGTGCCATGCCTACTTTTCTTATGTTTTTTTTACAACCTGCACTAAAACTCATACATGTTTTCTTGAAGGCTTATTCCAATAAATCCTAGTTTAATATATCTTTCATATTAGGGCAGCAGGCCTGGTAGCCCCAGGGGATGGGTGAACTTATGAGGTGGCTCCCTTATTATTCCCATCCGTCTATTATTCCCTTTTCTTGTGTGTCTTTTATATTTTCTCATTTTTAAAAAAATAATTATGTAATGGTTTTAACTAATGATTATCTTATTCATCGTCTGATTTTACTGTACGCAGCCCAGAATCACTTTCTGTGAGCTAGTCAAAGATATAAATTTGATTAATAAACAAATAAATAAGTAAATAAACAAATAAATAAATATTTTCATTATGGCACATAACAAGCATGGTATGCTTAGAGGTCCATTCTCTTTAATTCCCTTCAAGATACTAACCTTTTTCTAGCTAAGTCGTCAGTTTTTTTCTTTAGTCCACTTTTCTTCTTCTTTTTGACCCATATTCAGCCTGAGTCCTTATCTCTCTGAAGTATTGTCCTTGTAGCTTTCTTCCTACCTGTTTTTCCTCCTGTCTATCTGATGCTCTTCAGGTGTGCTAGACCAATGTTTCCTAACCTGGGCAAATTTCAGATGTGTGAACTAACTCCGATAATTCGCTAACCATCATGGCCACTGCTGAGTGATCTGGGAATTAAAGTCAACACATAAGGAAGTTGTTCAGGTTGGAAAACTCTTTGCTAGACAAAGCACCCCATTTTTAACCAGCATGGATGGCTGAAACATTGAGTACTTGTTATTCAACACTCTGTGGAAAGGCTGCCATGTCTAAAAGCATTGCCTATAAGCTTTTTGAGACAATAAGCTAGAAAATCCACTGAAAGAAACAACAGATAGCAAAGTACACATGACTGGAAAGCATTCAAGTTCTTTTTTTAATAGGAACACTGCCAATGTTTAAATAAGCTACACTGAGTATGCTAATAATTAACACACTAGAACATAAAACCAGGAAATGGGATCCTTGCTTTTCTCATCTTTGTGCAAAGAGTTACATTTTAAAAATACAAACTTAGAAAATTCCAGTGCTCCCAAAATGTTATTTGAAGTATGCAGATGGAATGTCCATGACCTATTTTAATAATGCATTGTTTAAAAAACAAACCAAAATAAACATACCAGAGAAGGAAAAAAGTTAAGACCTTACCTCTTCCAGTGCCCACAGTGAATCAACCACTGGTTTGATCTTCTTCTCATTGTAAAGTTTTAGGAGATTGTCCATTACTTTAGTGACAAGGCTACTTCGGCCCTGTTTGAAAAGCAGGTTCAACAGAGAAAATCCAGCCATGACTTTGTTTTCTTCATAAAGTTTGATAGGGTTTACTTTCTCCACTTGCCACCACTAAGGGCACACAAATTGCAACAAGATTAGAACCAAGGTATTCCACTTGTATATTCCACTGGAAATGCATAATGTACCTCAAAATCACTCACTCACTCAGAAGATAAGAGGCCAGAGAAGCTGGAGTAGGGACTTCAATACTTCAATATATTGGTGGATCTCAAAATAAAAAGGTATGAAACAAAGGTCGATCCAGATGAACCACTAAGATATAGGCCTCAGCCTTTTGCTCTCAAGATATACTACCTTACTCTCCCAATTTTCACATAAAAAGAACAACTTTCCTTCTCAAATCTAGGTTAGGAGAAACCTGAATGGGTTCACACATTGCCATAAGCCAGAATTTAAATAAAATGAACAAGACACCATGGCTTGGTTGATATATCACCCTAGTGCATACATAACGGAAACCACAATGGCTAAGTCTGCAATAACACACTAAGCCAAAAATAAAAAAACTAGAATAGATAGCCAGTGTGAACCTAGTAAGGATGTTCAGAGATCATCCTTCCATCCATCCATCCATTTTGTGACAATGTACTTTGATTCATTTTTTTTATTTTTTTTTTAGCCAATGAAATCAAAGCCATAGTAAGATGAACACTTTTGATTTTACTTTAGCCCACCAACCCTTTCAAAGCTCCCAGAAAGGATGGTCAAATTGTTTAAGTTTTTCTTTTTACATTTTTGGAATTTGTTGTGAGATTAAAAGCAAACTGTAGAGATTTAAGGCACCCTTTCACAACTTAATGCTTCCCCACCATTGCAGATCTCAATTTTCTCCACTTTTGAAATGTGGCTGTGCCACAAAACATAAAAGAGCTAGCAACTATACACTTCTGAATTAATAACATATTTGAATTCAGCCATTATGCCCAGCCAAACAGGTTGTGACTCACTGAGACTTGTGAATGAAGCATATAGGGTTATTCAACAATCAATATTAAAATACACAAGGGTGCGTTGTGATGTATAAACCAAGTGAGAGTTTGCTGTGTTAATATGGATTTGGGATCTGAACACCTACTCAGATCTGTGGACCAATTCTGTGCATTGGTGATGATTCAAGGCTTGGACTGTTCTAAATGATCTTGTCTCAAAATTCCACCTGTTTCTAACCTGGGTTCTATAACAGTGGATTTCAACAACCATCCGGTGGCTTTTTGATTCATGTCTAGCTGGAAGTGTATTTAAGCAGCAGCTCCTTGCCCTGTCTTTATAGGTACAAAGAAGAAACTAATAAACTTAATGAAACATTCATACCTCTGCTGTGGATAATGCTTAGTTTGGACCTGAATCTGCAAATGATGAGTCATGCTGTTAAAGGGAGAGAGGGGGATAAAACTGCTGGGAAAAGCAGAGAGACTTGGAGCACAGCACATACAAATAAGCTCTGACAAAGCCAGAGGGTCTTATACTTACTGATTTTGCAAAGCTGAAGAAACTTTTGGTTTCCCCAGTAACCATGTTTGATGAGCCTAGAAAACAGTGAAGAGGGAGGGAAGCAGCAGAAGAAAACATGAGCACAGAAGTAGATTATTTATATGTCACAAGGATAAATGGGAGAATATTGATATCCTGTGTCAAAATCAGAATACAAAATCTCCATTCTCCATAAGGGGCATCTTGTCTACTGTTGGGGTTTAATTCTACTCTCATGTTGGGCTCTTAATGATGCCATCAGAAGGAGAAAACTCCAACTATCTTTCACCAAATAACCTTCTTGGCAACTTGAGAACATGCATAGGACCTCAAGTCATATGAAAACATACAGCCTGGATGGCCAGCAACGTTTAATTGGTCCTATCTATCTTACACATTCCTTCTCTTCTATTTCTGCCTCCTGCCGTTAAGGTGCTTCTTGGCTGATATCTGAAATGATAACTGAATTTTTCATGCAACCACACATTAGAAATCAACCCAAACAGCTACAATGGAATGGTGACTCTTGAGAAGTTCAGGATTTATTTGGCTTTTGAATTTTACTCACCATATAAAATGTAAGTCCCAAGTGGTTTGAGTAGACTGAGGCCTTTACCAGTATTTTCACCACAAAGGCAATCCAGGACAATGTCAACACCGTCTGCAGAGATCCTACAAAGCACAGAAACACTGTGAAGATGCTTGCTACCCAATGCCATCATCACTTCAAACAATCAGGAAAAAGGATATGTTATGGGTCGACTACCTGCGTATCAGGTGCTAGGCTGGGGAAGTGAAGACCCAAATCCACAAATACTGAATCTACAAGACCTCTTTAGAATTCCCATTATGTTATTCAAACAATAGCCTCCCTAGACATTCCACTTTAGCCACTGTTTGAATGGATCCTTTCTCCTCAAGTATTGGTCTACCCCAGATAGGTCTTCAAACTTGACAGCTTTAAGACTTGTGGACTTCAATTCCCAGAATTCCTCCTCAGTCATGTTAGCTCATGAATTCTGGGAGTTGAAGTCCACAAGTCTTAAATTTGCCAAGTTTGAAGACCCTTGATCTACCCATCACTCAAATGTACTCTATTTTTAAAAAGTGGGTAGAACTGCTCTGGGCTACTCCTCCATTCTTTAATTAAATGTGTAGAAATCTATCAGCCCAAGAGGCTAAAAAACCATTATCATGGAAGTCAGGACTTCTTACAGCTATTATAACAGAATCTTCAGCATCTGAATGTGACCTTCCCCATCTTTATGTCAACTAGGGAAGGGCCAGATCTACACATGAAGCTTCAGTTAAAGCAATCTATTGCTAAACAGCTTATGCACGGGAATCTTTTCAATTAACGGTCATGGAATGCAAGGAAAATTGGACTTAACCTACTTGCAGCTACATAGGTATTCTAGGTTGATCTCTCTTTTAACTCTGACTCGAGACTCTGCCACGCCTTCTCCCCCAAGAAGCTTTTCTGAGGCATTTTCCCAAATTACTTTCTTGAAATGGAGTCAAGTCCTGTGTGATGACCCGGGGGTGGCACAAAGGTAACACAGTCAAATAAGCAAGAAGTGTCCCTTTAATACCTCCAACTTTGCCCCCAAAGTCCAGGATACCTTCAGCTGGAGAATAAAGCAGTCTTTAAGTGGAGGAAATTCAGTCCGAAAACAAAGTACATACAAACTGTAAATAAAAATCCACACAAACCATGCTGCAGTAATTAACTTGACAGGGCAGGGGAAGGAATTGAAGACTTGAAAGCCCAGCAAAACACACACAGTTGGGAAGACTTCAGGAACCCAGATAAGCCTCAACGATACCAGATAATTCATGATTTTCTCCCACAACTTTGCTGTGCACAGCTTCCCTTTTTAAACACTGTGTTCCCAGTTGCAGCTAAAGAAGGGAATCAGGGCCCTTTCCTGCCCCGTAAGACATGCAACTCACATTGCTCCCTTCTCTGTTCCTCCCTGCGTGCCCTAGGATGAAGAGGGGGTGGGCCTGGTTCTTCCTCAGTATTCCCTCTCCCTTGCTCTACCTCTCCCCTTGTCTGCCCAGCTGGACTTTGCCCTTCCCCAGTTTCTTCCACAGCCAACAGAGCCATGTTCTTACTCCCTATCAGCTGCTTGGCCTCCCCCCACTGAATCAGATTCCGACAGGGGCATGACATCCTGTTTATCTGTCCATTGCCTTGATAGTGGCTCTTCCGATCTTTCAAGGCCATTCCTGGTGTGCTCTGCAAAGTCTTTGTGGCAGATGAGAAAGGTCATGCATAAAGGTCAACTATTAAAATATTTGGAGTAATCCATGGCTCTCTGCAGAGATAAGAATAGCAGTCCAGCAAGTAGAATGATTTGGCCGACCTTGTTGATATTCAAAGGCAATGCAATGTCAAATGTACTTAGTGCTGAATGTTCAAATCAAAGAGTTGCAGCTAGACTGGAGGGTATTTTTAACAGTTAGAAGAAAACAAACACAGCCTACTTCTTTCCTGTTGCCAAGAAAATTACAGAAAGCTTTATCTACGAAGTCACCAGGAGCTGCCTTAAATTCAAAGATGAAGTTGTCTTTACTACTGCTGACACTGCCCCCTTGTGCACAGGGATACTTTATCTGCCCTCATGATCAAGAATTCTTTCCTATACTTTTTATAGGGCATTTTATTGTTAAAAACCTACACGTCAGAGTTGTTCCATATTTTTTATTATCGTGCAATCCATTAAAATGAAAATACAGACCATCTACAGCATTTAGAAAATGGAGAACATGCTTCTCTATATGTAGAGGTGAAGAAGAAACAAAACTCTCTCTCTGTTTCAGTGGTGGGATTCAAATTCTTTTTACTACCGGTTCTGTGGGTGTGGCTTGGTGGGTGTGGCTTGGTGGGCATGGCAGGGGAAGGATAGTGCAAAATCTCCATTCCTTCCCCACCCCACTAACCTGCTTTACAGTTCCGTTCTCCGGTGCAGGGCAACCAAAGGAGACCCAGCCAATCAGTCGGGACTCAATGGGAGGCGGAGAATAGATGGGGGCGGGGCCAGTCAGGGGTGATATTTGCCAATTCTCTAAACTACTTAAAATTTCTGCTACCAGTTTTCCAGAACTGGTCAGAACCTGCTGCTTTTGATACTCTCCTTTTATTCATTCTGAACTTTCTTCCCCCCCCCCCCCCCCCCCCCCCCGCTTTTTATCTTCCCTGCCCTTAGCTAAAATAAGGAACAGTTTCTATAAGAAATTGGAATATCTTTGTAGACTTTCTTAAAAATTAAGCCAAGGACCCCATAGAAATAGGTTGCAGCCAACATATGTTTTGGAGGATCCATGGAAGAGAATGCTGGGTTAAATGCTTTCTGTATGAGAGTAAATTCACATTATTATTTCAAGTTTCATTGTGAGCTTCCTTAGAGCTACTCATGCACAGAAAGATCAGAAACAAATGCGCAATGTGAAGCCAACTTGTACATTCCCAAAAAGCAAATTCCACGTGGTAGATTGAAGTCTACATCTTTCAGCCTTAAAATCTCTCGCAATTAGTCCCAACGGATGCAGTTGATAGGCGATGAAATCCAAAGAATCTGGATGGCACCAGGTTGCCAGGTTTCTGCCTTAATCTGTGAAAACCTGGCTTCAATCATTCTCTGCACAGAATATATGCATCACCCTCTACAGCAGTTGTTAAAAGATTGTTTCAATGGCTCACTTCAATTAAATAATTATGAAAATCACTGGTGCACTCATTAGGGATAATTGTACTCCACGGAGTCTGAAGGGCATAAGGTACACCAAGCAACTTCTAAATCCCAAGACCAGCTTTTATCGCCTGACAATTATTGTCTAAAATTGGTTAATAGCAGTTACGAGGATATAGGTTAAATTTACTGACCTAGATTATGAACCCCTTTTCTTTTCTTTTCTAGAAACAGGAAGAGCAGTTGGGCATCTGATGACAGAGAAAGTGATGGAATTATATTACAGGTAAATTGTTTGCTGGGATTAGGATGTTATCTGGCCTTACTAAGCTGTAGAAAATGTTTTATAAAGCTCATTTTAATTCTGCACTTCCCTAAAAAAGTAATCCAATTGCTAGTGAATACGTTTCACAGTACAGTCTGTATTTTTAAAAGGATGGTGGAATTTCAGGGTTCAGCCACATCAGTGGAACAAAATTTTGGAAGTATCCTTTAAGGAAGAAAGTTACGGATCAAAAGGTACAGATGAAACAGACAAAAGACCCAAGCAATGTGTCTTGCTTTCCATACTGAGTAAAAAATAGAATAGAACTGGAAGGGACCTTGGAGGTCTTCTAGTCCAGCCCTCTGCTCAAGCAGGAGAACCTATACCATCTCAGACAAGTGACTGGCTAGATTCTTCTTAAAAAATATCCAGTGATGGAGCAGCCAAGATTTCTGAAGGCAAGCTGGGGCAGGTGGGAAGGCCCAACAGCTGATCGTTGGAATGAACCGGTTTGCTCACAGATGATCGTTGGAGATACCGGTTTGGCTGAACCGGGTCGAACTGTAGAATGCAACTATTGGTCCTTACTGTTAGAAAGTTTCTCCTTAATTCCAGGTTGCTTCTCTCTTTCATCAGTTTCCAACCATTATTTCTTGTCCTGCCCTCTGGTGCTTTGTAGAATAATTTGACCCCATCTTCTTTGTGGCAGCCGCTCAAATACTGGAATACTGCTATCATGTCACCCCTAATTCTTCTTTTCTTTAGACTAGCCAGACCCACAATCTTCAGCTGTCCTTCATATGGGAAGATGGGATTGTAAACATTATCATCTGGATACTTCTAAACAGAAGGAATTATTTTTGCAATCCTGTGATCTGTACAGTGGGGCCTCTCTGAGGACAGCAATTTGCAGATTAGCTCATGCTATTGTGATCCCTTTGCTTTGGCATCAAACATCTTACAAATCCTTTTATTTCCAATTTCACGCTCTACATCCAAAATGGTAACAATGACAAGAAGCAAAAGTATCAGCAAGCTTGGAGAAGAAGGAAATCCATCTTTCAGAAGGATAGCGTGGAGATTGCTAAAGGCAGGAAAACCCTAAAACAGCTCACTGAAAACAGAGGTTCTTGCAAAGCATGGTCTGTTTTGTTAAAGAAAAGCAGAATGTCAATGAGCAGATTCTGTAAGTGTGACACCCAGGGTGCTAATAATTGGGACCAATTTTTGCTATAATCTTCAGTTTATAGTTCTTCAACTTCAGTTTTCAGTTCTTGATACTTTGTGATCTTCTCCAAGTCTTTATCTTCTACTATCTCCTACTATCTTCACCTCAATTATCCACACTTCCTTCTTCTCATATCTGGTGTGTTATGAGCCAAGACTTTTATCATCATTGTTACTATTTTTTGCCTGTGCCCTGTGCAATTGTTGAAGAGTGCTACCTAAGAGCATTTCTTTTGATCACTTTTCTTTTACAAAAGCCTGCTGACTAACCTCTCTTTAAAAAAAGAAAAGAAAAATGAAACCAGAAGAAAGGCGTAGGGGGAAGCCAAATCTTTTCTTTTGCATCTATAACTTACCGAGTACATAATACTGTATTTGCTCTTCTAGAGAATAAATGATGCTCTAATAAGAAAGTAAGTGCTACTCATAACCTGCTCCTGGATTTCAGTTTCTATCCACTTACACTGTGAGGCAGAATAATAAGGAACAAAGACAGGAAAATGTCCATATTGTTGGGTTATGCAGATTCTTGCACAACGTGATGATTTTCCACTGTTTTTGTCGAGTAAGCTATAACTCTGATTAAGTACACACAGTGAGGCTAAGATACAACTGACAACGTTTGGGGATGGGGAGAAGAATGAGAAAATGAGCAGTACGGTGCAACCACAGCCTTTTTAATATACACAGTAGTCCTCAAGCAATGACCACAATCAAGCCCAAAATTATGTTGCTAAGTAAAACATTTGTTAAGCGAACTTGCCCTATTTTATTGATCTTTCTTGCAATGGTTTTTAAGTGAATCACAACATTTGTTAAGTTATTAACACAGTTGTTAAGTGAAGGAATCCAGATTTCCTATTGACTTTGCTTGTCAGATAAAAATAGATTTAGGGAGAGCTTTTTTCCCCCAGACCTGGATTCCCTGAATACTATCTCCATATACGTAAAAGAGAGATTCAGTAAAGCCGCATATATTGTAAATGTGATAAACCTATTGGAGACCTCATAATGTTTCATTTCCCATTGATAATTGGTCACATCACTGTTATCTAGAAATACAATCTAGGACAGGGGGTATCAAAATGGCAGCCTGCAGGCTGGATATATCACACAGACCACGCCCACCTCAGCTCCATGAAGGGGAAAAAAATGTCACAATACATCACATGATGCCATGAGTTTGACACCCGTGAAGAAGATTGTGAGACTCTTTCATCTTTTACTCTAAGAGATCATTTACAATAGGACAATAAGAATATTTTCGAAAATTACCTTACTTGTCCCCTCCATTAACTTCTTACAGTTCTCATTAAACAATTTCCCCTATCAAGTAAAATGCAAACTCTCTCACTTACTTTTTAACTTCTTGGACATAATCCACGTTTCGGTCAAACAGGTACGTCATAGACTCTTTGATGGCCTCATGCTTGAAAGAAGAAGCCGTTCCAAAGACAGTAACATTGGGAACTGTTGAGCAGAGTTGAGCAATAGCTTGTCCCTATAAATGCATTTGTAAATTAGTTGCACGGATATATCAAATGTGTTTACCATTCATTGCTGGTTCTCTTAATCAGCTGTCTGCCAACAAGTGACCTGAAAATACATTCTTTATTTATTTACCTACTGCTCAAAATCAATGTTATGTTATGCAATATTATGTCACCATTAGGCAATCTTATGTTAGCACTGCTTGCCATTTTTTAACTCCCCCACCCCCAAAATTACCAGTACTTGTAAACTGTGTTTAAATAAGAGAAATTTTGACAAGTAGTATATTATTGTAATATATACGTAGGATTAAAAATAGAGTAGGGGCAGACTTAGGAGAACACAGTTGCTTCTAATACATGGTTGGTGGATGAAAGAACCTCATATTGCCACTCAGCCACATGTAACCACTGGTTAAGATGTTGTATTTGTAGTTGTATGATTTGCCAAAGGTGACAACAGTTATTTGACTTTAGATGATCTTATGAAAGTTAATAAGCCAGATCCGACTAAAAGCTGGATGGAGAACTTCCAAGAAGTTATAGGGGCTACGATCTACGATGGGAAATTGAAATAAAAATTCATCATGAAGGAAATTGTACCTCAATTCCAAGTGATGGCCAAGTCAATATATATTTCACCAGAGTACAAAGGTTTCTCATAAAATCATCTCATTGTAGATATGAGTTTTTATTTTAATGAAGAGAATCAATTGAATGGTTTCCTCATTTTTCAGGCCTTCAAACCTTAGCCAAGAAGCACTTAGCATTCTGTGGTTGCAATGTTGGCTCAAACTCCGGTTATAGACCTCAACTGAACCTAAATTCCCAATTTAATTTGTAAAAGTATTAACAATCCAAACTTTCAAAAGCTCCACTACAGGCATAAAGTATATGCCAAATGTGGTATTTCAGCTGCAAATGGGATTCCTGGGGATTGAGAGAATTGTGTCTTTCAAAACTCAATTACTAGCTGAAATTACAATGTTAACCATTCAGGTCTAGTTCTTTCTGTTTGCTGATGATTTCCAATCAACAAGGAAAAGGATGCTTCATGGAAAAACACTGTTGCCTGCCTCTCACAAGTGCCTTAGTCATTTATGCCCTATGAGATGGAGAACTCCTTGTGCAATGCATCACGGAGGGAGAACTATAGGGAGAATATTTTGAAGCAATCAAAATGGACCTTCTGTACATCCAACCAGCCTATTATTTTAAGATCTTTGCTCTACAAAACTATTGGAGAATATTCTTTAAAGCTCACCTGCTCTAATACAGGGGAATCAATGATGTAGCTAAATAATGAACCTGTTTCTCCCAGTAGACCAGAAATAGCTGAAATACTTGAACTTTTTTTTTTTTAATAAAGATCTTTGTAGGGAATTTGCTTCATGTCCTAGCCCATCTTATGTGCCCAGAAGCTTGTTAAGTTTCCATACTTTAGAAGCGCCCCGGTAACACTTACTGCACTTTCTTTTGTATTCATACACTTTGGGTTTGTAGAAGGAGGAATCGCTATCTTTTTTGGTAAATGGACTGTTTTATTTTATGATACTTCGGCTGCATTTTAAATGTTACTTGCCTGTGTAAACGTACCAGGAAGTTGCGCTTCAACTGCAATAGAGGATTGTTTTATTCTCTTAGGGCCTTCAAAATTTTGGCAATGGTTAAATTGGGAAAGATAAATATTAATTGAACAGAACAATTATTTGATTTAAACAAACCACACTTGGAGCATTTGCAAGATGAACTGTCAAGATTCATTTTCGAAAAAAAGGGAAGATGTAGGGAAATTTCATCAGGTTTGCAGTTTTAAAGCAAAGTGCCCCGATTCAGATATTTTCTAGGCATATAAACAAAGCAGAACTACTAACCTTCCCCTTAGTAACTCCCTTGAGATCTGGCAATGCAGCATTTGGCTCAATAACCACTTATAAAAATAGGAACATTCCGGAGGGTTTCCCACAGAGAAAAGGGCTTCCGTGTTTAAAATATTTATGGCAAGCAGAGTTTTGCATTAAACCTTACATTTATATATATATATATATTTTAAAGACATCATTTGCAGAGTGGTGTGGAAATCTGACAGAATAGGCTTCTTGGTAATGAAAAATGAAAATCCTTTGATTTAGATAGTATCCCAGTAAAAAGCACACACTCAAATATCTTCCCGTTGATGAAGGTCCCAGGTTTTGCTTATAGGGTGAGACACAAATTACATTCCTAGAAGGAAAGTTTTTCTTCACATAGGAAATTGGTTGCTGGGTGGAAAGGACGTCAATAAAAATCAGACGAACTGATTCCCCTTTTATCACTATGCTTATTCCCAAATTATTCAGGAGATTTTTCAGGTTGTAGGTTTTAGCCTAGATCTTTGGAAATCTTGTCCATGGAGGTGAAAAAGAACCAATGGTTAGCCCTTCCAGATCCTGATTTTCCAATATCACAATCATGCTGAATACAATTGTCATGAATCATTGCAATTAGCTACAGCGTTCAACCCTCATCTTTGAAATTTATTGATTAAATTTACATATCTGCCCATCTCTCCAAAAAATGGCTTTGATGATGTATAATAGTTTCCAAGCCTTTGTTATGTCACATATCTACCTTTTATTAATTTAAATGTATTTAAAGAAACGATGGGGCACTTACCTCCCACAATGATCTTAGGTGGCTCATAATATCTCCCAAAAAACAATATTTGGAATAAATAAACCAGACCCTTCCCATTAGATACCAGATCACCCATATTATGGATCTCCTGACTCAGCCCCAGTGCTTGGATGAAGAGCCAGTTCTTCCCAGTTTTCTGGAAAGACAAAAGGGTAATACCTTCCCCACCTCATCCTATAAAAAAAAATCTCAATTGCACTGAGATACAGGAAAGAGATCTTCTAATCTATTCTAGCATTTCATGGGACCTTCAGTTTATTGGTGGCACTGACTCGAACTTTTTCTAGTACTGTTTTGGAGGGCTTGAAATCACACTTTCCTTTTTAAAACATAATGTTAGAGGTTTGTTGCTTTAAAATATCAATAGCCGCCTTAAAGTCTTTTGTTTTAGTTTTTTTTTTTAAAGAAACATATGTTCAATATATTATTTGCTTTCAGTAATTGCATTGATTTCTCAGTTCATTCACTCAGCATCCAGACATGGATTTTCCAAAGCACCTGAAGGCCAGACAAGGAATAATGGATGGAAACTGAATAAGGAGAGATTCAACCTGAAAATAAGGAGAAATTTTCTGACAGTGAGACCAATCAACCCATGGAACAGAAGTTGCCTTTGGAAGTTGTGGGAGCTTCATCACTGGAAGCTTTCAAGAAGAGACTGGACTGCCATCTGTCAGAAATGGTGTCGGGTCTCCTGCTTGGGTGGAGTGGGGGTTGGACTAGATGACCTACAAGGTCCCTTTCAACTCTGTTAATCTGTATCCCAACTAAGCCCTAAGATACTTCATTCAAGACAATCATTTTGGAGACTTCTCTTTCCATGGGGTGAAGCAAATTACATGTATCCTTCACTGTTTCACTAAATAGTTTCTAACAGAGAACACATAGTGGATGAAGTGAAAGGGTGAGAAGTGAGGAAAGTGATTGTGTAATATTAGAGTGCTTGATATTAAGGGAAAAGTTTCACTGGAGTTCGATGTGTATCTTGGATTACAAAAAAAGTCAATATTAATAAACTTAGAACAATAAATAAAGTTCCATGGCAAAACAAGGTAATGGGAAAAGTGGTTAAAAGAGACTAAAGGTTCCTATAAAGAAGACACTAGAATCAAAATTGCAATCGATTCTGACAAGCAAAATGAACACAAGAATTTACTGAATGTCTATGGAGATTCTTAGTCATCATCCAGGTCATGGTTGCTCCAAAGGTTTCTTTTTCTTTCAAGAGACAGCTGGACTTCCTGGAGAAAGCAACCAGTTCATAAAACTCCTGGCACAGCATATGATAACAAGCACATCAGGACAAGATCCAGCAGTCCATCTGCCTTTAAAAGACAAAGGCTACTCTTTTGAAGAAAAGCAACATCCACATTTTAGACAGAGAGGATTGCTAAAGTTGAAAGAGGGGCCAGAGAGTCCATATAGATTAAAATTGAATAGCCCACTCTCAAAAGAGTGGGAAAGATATGGCATCATCTACATCCAGTCTACAACACAGTCCTTTCAGCAGTTCCAAAAAGGTTCCACACCCATTTGCTCTTCTCAGGTGACTCTGAGGACGCAGATAAACCTCCAAGTGGCCTCAACAGCTCTCTAAAAGAATGCAAATGACCAGCTGCCTGAAAGGAATATAAATCCTTCCATTCCCTACTATCTAGTCAGAGCTGAAGAAGCCTCTTGGATGAGAAGCAAGCGTCTTCAAAGAAAAATCAGAAAGTCCAGTCTTGGAAAAAAAGCACCTATGGGATAAGAATTCACTCTTCCCATGCTTCTGCACAACATCTGGGAACAAACATGGGCACACATAGGAGATGTTGCAAAGATATCTTGGAATTACAGAAATAGCATCTGAAAAGCCAAAGCTCAGAATGATCTGAAATGGGCAAGGTATGCTAAGAATTCATTTTTTAAAAAGGCTTTTTTATCTTTAAATTAAAAGAAAAAAACCCTGATAACTGCTTCTTTGGAATCTAGGCCATTCCTCCCAACATTTTCATGTCCAGTGAACAATAAGAAAATCCCCCTTCTGGAGAAGCTCTTAAAGAGAATGGCCGTACCATTCACCCATCTCCTGGACAGCTTTTCTTGCAAAGCAACCAACGGAGAGCTCTCCGATAAATCAATTTGTCCAAGACTTCCCACACTTTTGATGTTGCAAGATATCATGTACTCCTGGAATGTCTGGAGTGCTTGAAACAATGACATGGAACTTTTCATTAATGCAAAACGAAGTCCAAGATTCATGTGCTACAGGACCTCCATTGTTTTACTGGATGGTTCAAGAATGCTCATGACATTTGGAAATAAATGGGGGGAATTTGGCTGTCCTCCTCCTCTTGGTAGACATTAAAGCCCTGGAATATGTTATCCACACAAGCCTACAAATCACTCTCTTGGGGCTGCGTCCAATGCCTACTCCCTTGCATTTTATATGATCTAGCTTTATAGGCAATAATTGTTTTGGATTGTACTGCTGCAGATATTTTTCCTACCATGAGCTAGTGTGGGAGTCTCCAGATTGACCTTTTTTGCAACTATTTGTTATTAACTATGTGATTGTATGGTACAACTGGATAAACAGTAATGCTCCTGTGAGATTCACTAACTTCTTCCAAAAGTTTGCTTGCATTCATTTTTTTCTGGCTTCAAATTTTCTGAATGGTCTGCATTTGGGTGGGTTTTTTGTGAGGGGGCAGAGGGTAGTAGGAGGAAGAAAATATTTGATGAAAATAAAGATCTCCTTTGTCTATACTAAACTACAATATCATGAGATTATAATTCCAAACAGTTATCGCAAATGACTCAGGAGTAATCATTCAACATGAACAAGGGTATAGAGGTAACGTGGGCTATTGCAATTATTTTATTCTCTCTATCTGGCAGTTTGTAACTTATATGGATCAAGATTTTGGCCTAGGTAAAGCTTACATCTTTGTTTTCCAAAGCACTTCCTCTTCAAGAAAACGTGACATATCACTGAATATCTCTACTTTGAAAAAGATTTAAAATCCTGTTACATTATTCCAAAACCCCATTATTCCAAAACAGGGTATCTCTACTTCTACATCGAAAGTCCATGAACGTTCACTTTTGGAAACTCCTATTGCTCTTTCTCAGTTTTAACTTACCCAGATCTCAATATTCATCCCATGTTCACCAAGAGCCACAGATTCAAAGCCAGAATTCACAAGCCAGTAATTATTCTTCTATTTTATTTTGAAAGGAAGTCATTACAGACTTTCTTGGTTAAGGTGCCAGTTTTCTTTCAACAAGCTGGGCTTGAAACAGCACATTAAAGCACACAAAGTCTGCTAAACAGACTGAATTCCAGCAATTGCTTTGTTTTAAATCCAATCCTATTTATAGTGGAATTGAAATTCTTGCATCTTTTCCCTCTATTTACATGACGTAACCCCACCTTGAAGACACTTTCTTATGGGCAGGAGACTTTTATGTTGTTGGGTGGGGTGTCTAGCCAACTAACCATCTCAATTTATAAGAAGAGGGAACTGCCCAATCCAGAACAATAGCAATTATTAATACTGTACTGACAATCAAAATTGTAATTCTTTATTGGACAGAAGTGAAACAGAATCAACTTACCACTCCACCCCCAGCAGAATGAACCAGCACTGACATGCCTTCTCGCAAGTTGGCAACTTCGAAGAGCATCATATATGCCGTTACAAAGTTCATAGGAAAAGCAGCTGCTTCAGAGAAGCTCATGCCATCAGGAATTCGGTACACAAAGTCAACAGGGGTGCATACAACCTCAGCCCAGGCGTTGTAGTTAGTAAAGGCCATGACTCTGTCTCCAATCTGAAACCGTTTGAAAGAAACACAATCTGATTACAGCCTTCTGGATAATCCTCATGGAGGCACACACACACACACCCAATACAGGCTGGTTTCAGACATTGGCAGTTATCCCTTGGTGACAGTAACATCCAGTGTGTTGTGGCCCGCCAGCGGCCAAGCGGAGCTGTCAGCAGACTCGGACAGTGAGGAGGTTGGGGAGGAACACGGGCCAGTCCTGGAGTCTGGGGAAGGCTCTGACGAAGGCTCTGCTTCGGAGGCAGAGATGGGGCCAGGGCTGTCTGACAGTTATCAGCTACCTTCAGAATCAGAGATCAGTGGGGCAGAAGAATAGCTGGAGCCTGTTCCCAGTGTGCGCATGCACAGAGCTGCCAGGAGAAGGGAACAATTAAGGAACAATGGCTGACTCAGGAGTAAGGGCACAGGTGGACAGTGAATGGCCCCTCTCATAGGGAATAAAAAGGAGCGAAAGGGGAGTGGTGTTTGCAGGAGATAATTCAATTCATTAGAGTGAATTGAAGTTCATTAGAGTTCCTGACTTCTTCTCAAGTAATTGCTGCTATAGCGTAGCATTTGGAAGATATCGACCTGGCAACTCTCCAAGCCTGATAAAGGTCTGTAGTTGTGAAATCTCATGAAAGGCGGTTGGCTGGGACTTTTCTGGAAAGGAATTCACTTTAACTTAAATAAAAGAGGCTTTATCAGGACGAGGAGTCTACTTCGTGATCTTGGGAAGCCGAAGTCAGAACACAGTAATTAGGGCTACAACCACATATGGTGATGGCAGATGAGAGTCACTGTGAACATAAGAATGATGCAAAATGTGTAGAAATATGTCAGCTATTATTATACCATATATTTCTACCCCATTTTTGCTCTGGGCAGGACTATATTTTTCCTGAAATAGAGCAATAGATCTACTCAGTTTTCTCAAATGAGACTGAGACTTCTTCCTTTTGAAACTAGAAGTTATACAGAAAATAGCCTGTCACAGGGATCTCAAAATTCGGCAACTTAAGATTTGTGCATTTCAATTCCCAGAATTCCTCAGCCAGCCATGTTGCCAAGTCTTGAGATACTTGGTCTATCATAAAACCTACCCAATGTTCTCTATAATATTTTGGGAAGGTGAGTTCAACATAATCAGTGGCTTATTGTTTAAACCAGTTTATAGAGCTGGCTTATTTCAACCCAAACAAAATCAGTCTTAATATGTTCCACATTTTAAATGAAAAGTATTTAACAGTCATTGCACCCCCTCCTGGCATTCTTAATATCTGTGGATTTAAATTCATTTAGAAACTGTAACACTATGCTGAATTGTGTTTTTAAAGAACACTGTTTGATTCAGACTGCAACATGTGTATCTCTGCATTCTTCTGCCTACATTCAAATTTTGTCAGCTACTTTGGATAGTTTTTAAAGAAGGAATCTATTCCTTACCTTGGTCATATTTAATTATTCATACAATAAAATATGGGGAGAGGGAAAGGAAGACTGTTTTCACATATAAAGTAGCAAAAATCAATTTTTAAAATTGGTTGTTATCATTCTCTATAGCAAGTTCAAGTACTCAGTGCAGTTTTGTTCAGATTTTATACAGAATTACAGCTTTAGAGGAAAAAAATGAAATTAAACTGCAAAGCTGACTCGCCTATTGATAACAATTCAAGGCTTTTGCTACAATCACCTGATTCTTTACATGAGCTCATCTGAAATAAAATTATTTTGGTTACTTAATTAGCTTGGTCCATTGTATTTTTTCCTTCCGAGAAGAGTATTATTGTGACAAATGAAATAATTACTAGCGAGCCAGCAGGAATACAGTGTTATGGCACAGTTGGGTGTCATTAATGTGAGCTACAATTTCATGCTTCAAAGATTGCCTAGCTGTAGAGAAGTATAGTTCTAACCGAGCTTGTTTAGAAGTAGGCTTACATATTTATATTAATTTATTATATTAATATAATTACTATTAATAGTTATATTTATAACTGGCTTCGACCATCCCATTTGGAGATGGCTAGTAGACCAATACAAGACCTCATTTCCATCCCATCCATGCATTGGTTCTTTTATCCATTTTAATATTAATTTTAATATTTTTGCTTTCCTGGCAATGTATCAATCTTGTAATTGTTTTATTCTGTTGTGTTATTTATGACATTATAAACTGCCCTGAATTGGGCAGCATACAACTTTAATAAATAAAAACAAATATTTAAGAGAGCTTAGTTCTTTACTGGTTACTCAGGATTCAGTCTTACTGAATCATGCTGCAATTTGGGATTTGCTTAGAAAGCGGAGTGTCTTGGTCTCAATACACCTTGGGTCTACCAGGTGGGAGATGGCTGGTGTGAAATACAAAGCACCAGCAGTGACTTTTGACACTGTCAATTAACTTGAATTTGATAAAGTTCAAGAACTTTGTTCAAGAAAAATGCACTTGATAAAGTTTGGACCTGAAACAACTTTAACTTCCAGCATCCCTCATCCCTATTTTCATTTAAAGAGATGGAGTTGTACTCCAATAACATCTGGATAAGGTGGGGATCTTCATTGCTATTATAAATGTTGACTAAATAATGAAGCATCATAGCATGATTAAAATGGACAAATAAAACAGCTGAGTGCTGTAGAATGAATTAAGACAACCAACTACCATAATGTGATTATAAAAAAATGGCAGGACCATAAGCTAGGCTGATTTGAATTTATCTGTACATTTTTTATAATATCAAATATTGTTTTCATAAGCTAGCAATGTTGGGAACTGAAATAGGCCCCACTGGAAGCAAATCCTATCTTCTGATTTTAAAGAAGACACCTATTAAATGTTAAAGGCTGTTAAATGCTCAGTCAGTGATTATATCTTCCATCATAGATCATCTCAAATTCTATTAGCTCTGCATGTCTTTTGGGTAACGACCTTTCAAAATGAGAAAATGAAACAGCAATCACCTCTCCTTTTATCTCCCACATATTAATTTATTTTGAAATTCTGCTTTTCGATCTTGATCAAATCCTACTGCACTCTTTTAGAGCCCACCTTGGGTTCACTCGAAGGATGTGGGACTGGATTGAGAGGTTTATAGCACAGAAACATTTTATAGCATCATGACTAGTGGCACATTTCAACTGCCTTGGGATAGAGAAAAGATTACAAACTTGTAAAACATGCTGATAGCTTTAAAACCCTACTGAAACAGGATGACATATCTATTTCTCTACCTCTTCTTCCCCATCAGCAAAAAGTAGAATTTTTTATGTGATATGAAATGCTTTCTTTCATTGTTAATAAAAAAAATGATACTGTGTTTGCATGCAATGGCTGAAAGCTTAGAATTAAGTTGAATATCTCAATTACACTCTCCTGCTCCAAAGAAGTGGAAACAAACTCATTCAACTGGTTGATGAAATTGCAGATTTGGAGTAGGCATTCATTTGTGCCTTCAGTTGAATGAATACACTGTACTAGTGTGTTTGCCCAATATGTTAAAGTCTATTTGGCTTAAGAAGAATGAACTGCACCTGGATGAGTTTAACTACAGTCAACTGAGTTTACAAAACATGCTAAGTGTCTATGGAGATTCTCAATCATCCAGGTCACGGTTGTCTCAAAGATGCTTTTTCAAAAGACAACTGGACTTTCTTGGTTTATCTTTCTTGAAAATGTTTCATTTCTTATCCAAGAAACTTATTCGGTTCTGGATTGAACTGAAGAAGCTTCTTGGATGAATTGCAAAATATTTTTAAAGAAAAAAAAACCCCAACAAGAAAAAGCAACCCGGAAAAGCACCTTTGGAACAAAACAGCTAAGCCACAAACAAGCAGATTGCAGTGAGCTCTTTCTAGAACCCCAATTGTTAGTGCTTAGTGGCATATGGGAAATTCTGAGAGTATGCGATGGACACAAGCATTGAATGCCAGCTGGGGTGAAAGGCTACTCCATTCACAGGTTGGCTGGCTATGTTTACTGATTATAGTCCCAGACCAATAAAACAAATACACCGTAAAATGTAAGAGTATATACGGTAAACCAACCTTGTAACAATAAATAATAAAAAGAGGGCATCATTCAAATTCTACAATCCATAGCTGTTGCTGAGAAGTTGGTAATATTTTAAAGGGTTGCCTGCATTTAATTTTTTTGGGAGGAAGTCTGCAGCCTCTTGTTCAGTAAGACAAGTAAAATTTATTTGTGCCAAATACTAAGGGTGATATAGTAGACAGTTTAACAATTCATAAGTTACTGTCTTGACTGCAGTCTGCACAGAGGTAAATGCAGTTATCTTCTGATTGTCTGGATAGCCCTGGGTTATTTCTCATTGTATTTTCAAAGAAAAACAAATTTAGGGCCCAAAATAAATTATCGCTTTTTCTTTTCAGCTGAAATCTCAGACTCAGATTGCCATGAATGTTACTTGAGACTAGCTCAAAAGCCCAAGGGCCTTAACAATGAGATCTCTGGTGAGTCAAGAATGAAGAAAATAAGAGCAGTAAGCATACATATATCAAATAGATGAACTTTACTGTGAAATGTAACTACATTTTGGATTATTTTATATAAGCCACTGGGAAGCAAGGATGGCTGTGGCTGGTTCTTGTGAGGAGAGGAGCTGGGACCATTGTAGCTGATGGCTATATGGAAGTAAGCAAGGAACCTGCTTAATGTGAATCCCTCAGATTGAGGCATTTCCTTCCAATTCCTACCAGAGGTTGGGCATCAGACTGCATGGGGTGCATGGATCCTCTCATCACCTCCCTAAGCAGACATCTACTTGAGGTGTCCTTGGAAGAAGAGGGAGAAAGGCTAACTTGGCCATTGACCTAGAGTATCTTGGATGAATCCAGGGAATGCCATTGTTCACTGTCCTAGGTATCTTTTCCAGTCATCTCACTTCAGCCCCGAGGAGGATCTAGCCAATACTGGCAAGCTGCAACACTGCCCAGGTTAAGACAGCCGATTTTCTTCTGGGTTTATAACAATGGAGGTGACTTTTACTGTTCTGGGTCACAGACAAGCCAACTCCCTCCTTTTTTTCTTCCTTCCCACCTTTGTCAGTCTAGTTTGCTCTTGCCTCCCTTGTTGTCATCCCACATCTTATGAAATAAGATGGGAGTGGTAAGTCCTTGCAGACCTGTACATTGCACTCCTTCCTTTAAATATCTTTTTTTATATATAGAAAATGACTTGGTAGGTTACAAATTTGAGACAGTATCTTAGATTTTCATTTTTCATACTGAGAACCTCAGCCTATTTGATTCTCCTTTTCATCCTATTCAGTTTGTCATTAAGGGATGATGATGATGTTGTTGTTGTTGTTGTTGTTGTTGTTGTTAGTGATTTCTTTGTTTTTGCAATTCTGCACATCTTCTCCTAGGCAGATAATGTTGCTTTTGGCTACATCACCAATAGCATTCCTAATGTGAATTTTGTTTTTTTCAAGAGAAAATTATGTTATGGTGCCAACCTTTTAAAACTGCTTTTATATCACTGCTGCACATTTACTATATTTATATTTATATATATTTATATAGCTGCTATATTTAGACATGTTTCTAAACCAGCCATTTTAAAAAACAGTCTCCTGGTAGATATAGAACACAAATTGGAATGGGGATATGGAATTCTAATCCCAAAGCAAACAAACCATTTTATGGTTCAACCTGAGTTACGAACAAGACCTTATTAAATAATCATCAAGTACTCTACTACCATTTGAAATTCACTAATATCTGGTTAATTGATTTGTTCCATTTTGGGGATTCCACTATATCCTTATCAAGAGGAACTGATTCACAATACTTTAGAATTCAACATTGGAAAGACTTCTGACACTGTCGCACAGGGGTCTTCAAACTTGACAGCTTTAAGACTTGTGGACTTCAACTCCAAGAATTCCTCCTCCAGTCATCTTAGCTCAGGAATTCTGGGAGCTGAAGTCCATAAGTCTTAACCTTGGCAAGTTTGAAGACCCTTGCTGTAGCATGCCAGGGTATTTAAATGACAGTCTGTTGAATAACCTAATCTGCACACAACACAAAGTAATGATAGGTAGGTACACATATCACATTATAATAAAACTGAAACGGATCATGTCATGGTTTATCACAGTGATTCTTAATCTTTGCTTCACCATAAACCCTCCTTTAAATACATTTTCTGGCCATGAGCCATTGCCAAGGATCCCCAAGACCTAATTCAAGATTTAAATCAAAATATTTCTTCAAGCCTTTATGGACCCCTCTCTGATGACATTGTGGCCCCTGAGGGGTCCACGGACCGCAGGTTGAGAACCATTACTTTATGAGTATATTGTTTTGTTTTCAAGCACCATCATATTACCTCATAGCCTTTCACATTTTCACCCAGAGCTTCTACAATTCCAGAGCATTCAAATCCAGGTATAAGTGGTGTTTTAGGTGGATTATCAATGTTCCCTTGGCGAACCATCAGATCAATAAAATTTAAGCCACTGTAAGGAAAAAAAAATGAGGAGGGAAGATATGAAGGCCTTTATTCCAAGGTAGATGATAAACACAACCTATCATGGCATTCACAATCATATTTTAGTCACCAAAACCCAAAATGCTCTTTATGTGAGTTTTTTTTTTTCCCTTCCCCCAAGCTGAATTCACTATTCATCTTTTGGGATACTCCTAGGAAAAACTCAAGTTATATTATTTCCTTCTCTTTCTCTTCTCCGAATAACGCCAAATAACTTCTGGTTAACAATAGGCACCTCTTTACATTGTCCCTTTGTTGACCCCTCCAAAAAAAGAAAAAAAAAAACCCAGCATGTTATCTTTGAAGTTACAATAACTTACTCTCCAAGAAATAGGCAAACAGCAACAATGGACAGAGTAATAAATCTCATTCAATGTACGTGACTTTTTAGCAGTTTCTCCAAACGAAAGAGTTCAGAACCTGAAGAGAGGGCAGGTTTTGCTGTTCTGTATCTTCAAAATCTCCTACAGTTAAAACCCCTTTTGTTTATAATATTAAAGACATTATGACTTCGCAAAAAAATGAACCAGTTCAGTTTTCAACTGAGTAGTAGCAACAGACAATATAAAGTGAGGACATTGCAAATGGTTTAATTTTTAAGGAAGCTATTATGCTATTCTATATTAATGTAGCATGCAATTAAAAAAAATGAAACATCACATTCATCTCCCACAAATACTGGTAACTTTCAATTGATTGTTTCCCCTGGTCCAATATCTTTCAAAAAGGTGCTGTCAGCTGATCCATGAGCTTCAGACTATTAATCACATGTGGTTATCCTTATCAAAGCTAGTCCTTGACTTACAACCATTTATTTAGTGGCCATTCAATTAACAATGATGCTGAAAAAACGTGACTTATGACAAGTTTTCAACTACCATTGCAGGATCCCTATGGTCACATGATCAAAATTTGGGCACTTGGCAGCTGGCATGTACTGATGAAGGTTGTTGTCAGCTTTGGAAGCCGTATTTTATTTAGAAGCTTCGAGGCTGCCACATTTAGTGCCTGGGAATTTGGGAGGGGGGATTTCATAGAGAGGAGGATGTTTAGACTCAACAGCATTCTTTCTCAGAGAGTCAAGGACAAGTGACTCTGCACCTGGAGAGGAGTGTCTGGAGGAATGTCTCTAGTTGGGTTGATTGGACCATGTGATGGACTGGTGGGAGCAGGGAATGGGCTTTTGATTTTTAATTGGGAAGGAAAAACTCGGAACTCCCAGATTCAGGTTTTCCCAGATGTGCCAATATGACGTCTTTAATAAACGTTTTACTTGGATGAACTTTGCTTCTGGATGAAATGGGGAGTTTCATTGGAACACCGACAGTTGTAGCATCCTGGGATCATGTGATCACTACTTGTATCCTTTCCAGATGGCTTCCAGCAAGCCAAGTCAATGAGGGAAGCCAGATTTGCTTAACAACTATAATCTTGACAACTATACCTTGACAACTGCAATACCAACTCTGGCAAAAATGATAAAATGGGATGCAACTCACTGAACTGTTTCGCTTAGCAGTTGAGTTTGGTGGTCACAAATTGAGGACTACCAAACTTCTTTGTTACAACCATTTCCCTGGGTTTCTGTAATATACTTATATACAGTCCAAAACAATGATGGCAATCTTCAAAAATTGTGTAGGATTTTGGACAAAACTATTGGAATAACCCGGTTCTCTCCTTGAGACTTTCAATTCCCATTAAACATCTTAGTGGAAAAAAGACAATGGTTATCCCCAGCACTGGATATTTATTTTTCTGAATCTAAGCTGTTCATGTTTGCTTTATTGAAAGACAAAAATGTTGTTCTTTGGGTACTTAAGCCTAATTTTCTGAAAATAGCTTCAAACTGGTGAATGCTGTCTCATTCTTTTTTTATTGATGTGCTTTTTAAAGATTTCCTACATTACAGTTAGACTCCTTTTTTCTCTGTCTCTTTCTCTATGCTTCTCTCAGTCCTTCTGAGTTAACATTTTTAGCAGGAAATACTCTTTATGGCTAACTCCAATATCTAAAACCCCAAGATGGTGAAATAGACAACTCCTGGCACATTATTGAACCAGACGTGCATTACAATAAAAGGGAGAAGAATGATGCTCTTCTCTAATCCATTCTCATTGCTTTTTTTCAAACATAAGCCTTTGGTGAACAGTAATAGGATGCTTAGTGTTATGGAATACATTTTATAAGGAACAGAACTGGGATATGAAGGGCTGCTTAAGGCAAAACAAGTCCACTGTGCAACAAAGCAATGGAATGGAGCCAGAAAATATGCTAGCTAGACGAAGACAGATAGCTACCATTTCTAATGCAGAATGAAATTTAACACAATCCAAGATCAGATTGCATTGACCTCTGCACCAAGGATAGGCAAACTGTATGTTCCAAGTGTTTTGGACTACAATGCCCATAACCCATGATCATGGATTATGTGCCACCAGGTTGGCACCAGTTCTTGTAACTGTACATAGATTGACTTTCTCCAAGATGATCTGGCCCCCTTCAACTCTTTCAATGACACACTTATTGCCAAACTACTAGAATCAAGTTCATTGACCTTGCTGTTGGCTGCC